TTTTTTTTTTTTTTTTTTTTTTTTTTTTTTTTTTTTTTTTGCCACTACGTTGCCTGATAAATTCATCAAAAACATGAACTTGTTGAATTGGTCTGTACATCAAACGTGATTAAAGTGTGCTGAGTGCACATGCATCACAGTGCTGGAAAAGGCTTTAGAAAGAAGAACTATTTAGAAATGTTTCCTGAGCCCAATATCTTAGCAATTTGAAATTCTACAGCAGAGTTCTGAGACACTGTAAGAATGCAGGTATTACTTACAGAAACTTTCTCAGTTCAGCATTACCAATTCTAGTGCTGGAAAAGTGACTTCGTGGGGTATTTTTAGAAGTAAATTAGCAAAGCTCAAGTACAGCTTTCACTGAACTTCTATTCCAGATCTTTACTTACACAGAGAAAATGAAGTACTACAAACTTACAGCATCAGACACTTTGGTATATATATTTTAAGTTCTCTTTGCTAAGTTACCACTTTCTACCTACTAGCTATCTCAAAATGAAACATGAAAATTTGATACTAATGTACTTTTCACAGTGGTCTGTAGATATGAAGAGGGCAGGATAATCTCTTAGGCAGTATGTACCATTTCCATATTGCATCTTTCAAAATATTGACAAAATGCTGAAGGCCCAACATTTTAATAATGTTCTAATTTAAATATTCATTTTCTCTACTGCCCTCCTGAAAAAACATCTTGCTGGTGCTGCCAACCCACTCTGGAGGTGTCTCTTCACCCCCTGCAAAGGGATGCTATGTCAAAATGACAAACTTTCCTTGATCTCTGACACTGAAAAAGAGTATGTTTCTGTCTTTGGACTGTTTATCACCAGAGAACAAAGGTTTATAAGAACAGCTATTTGCCAAAAGCAATAGCACAATGGAAGGCCAAAGTAAAATTTATTTTCAGCACCTTGCAGTCTAAGCAAGTACAGTTTGAGTTTTCTGGAACTCAGAAAAGCCATACTGGGCGTCCTGGAAAAACAGACTTTCTTTTCTGTGCCCAGGTAAATCCAGACAACCTCAACATTTATTAGTGAAGGCTGCTTTGTCCTTAGTGGTTGTTAGTTGCCATAATTTTTTCCTGAAAATGTGCTTTATTTAGGATTACTCTTCCATTATTTTACATCACTTGAACACCTTAGAATGGAACAGTGCTTTGTAAACAAGCAGCAGTTCTCTACCTAGAATTACCACATATTAAATACAATTAAAAAAAAAAAAAAAAAAGGCATTTGTGAGTTATATTAAAAACGAAACCAAAAGCAAATATTTCTACCGAATTTGAGATTTTGTTCATCTCTATTTAACTTTCACAGATCTTAACAGAGCAACAGCATTCAAGATTTTTTTTTCCTACTCACTGTGTTAGAGGTCAGCAATTTATTAAACTTGGGATTATAAAACCACCGCATCGGGATTTAGGAGCCTTTCTAGCTACATGCTTTTTTCTGGAAGATGATTGCTGGTATTATTTCTGATTCATATTTTATGATGGCAGAAAGCAGCACTTACGTTAGAATTGTCCACAATCACTTTTCCTAATGAGCAGAAAAAGCTCAGTTTCTACCACCTTGCACTAAGGTATTTAAAGCATTCATGCAGAATCCAGAGATTCAGCTGACTTTAAAGGGAAGTCAGTTTGAGACTAAGGTGAAACTTTCAAGGCGAAATGCTAGCTTTTAGTCAGCTTGACATATATGGGTTATTTCTTCTTTTTGAATTTAACACAAAGTGTTGCACTATATCAAAATAGCCCATTTTAATACTAGTCCAGGATTTGCTGCATGCACAATTAAAACAACTTCTCCTTGTCTTAAATATATGCAAGGGAATACTGTGTTTGCTGCTGTATTTGGTTGTCAGTTGTTCTGGACGAATGCTCATTACAAATGCTAATGCTGAAAACAAAGCTAAGATGTTTCTATAACTGATGCCTGATGATAAGATAATTTTATTCTATTTTTTGTTTCTTTGTTTGCACTGGACAGTTAGAATATAAAGAGGAGAGTGTTTACCAAAGTTCTCACTTACTGGAATAACATTTTGTATCACGTGTTCCTGTGCATCTCCCATGGCTATAACATGAAGCTCAATCTGTTTTCCTGTGAAACTGTCACTAATTTGACACTGTGAAAATGCAGTCAGAATTTGCAAGAGTTTTTTTTCCCCCCAGTCTTTTTCACCCTTTGTGAATATACTTTTTTTGTTGTTTAATGCAGTGCTCTTTGGCAAACTAATTAAACTAAAAATTTAAACATAATCTGATATGGACAAGTTTATGGTTCAGTACTGCATTGTCTAGGCATAATTCCTGCTTTTGCTCCCTGGAAATAAGCATCCAGGCTTACTGACAAACTGGTGAACTACTGTCTTTGAAATGCAAAGCTTTTGGAGTACATAAAATACAAACTAATTTACTTACTTGCCTAGTTATGAAGCAGCAGACAATGTGCAGGTGTTACATAATAACAGACTTCTGTTGATAGGGGCTTCAAAACAGTATTGAAAACATTGCTCCAATAACGGATGCAAAACGCAAAGGACTGAGCAAATAACTTCATGCTTTGCCTCACTGCTATCTAGGTTGCTGGATTACAGTAAAGTGCTTTTTTAGACCTGATTATATACACAGGTCCAGCCCAAAGGAACTGGACTAATTCTACGTAAGTGTTAATTGACTGTTACCTCCTCACTCAGAAGGACAAAGTACAGGTAGAAAAGCTGACCTCTAGAGACAAGGC